AAAACCCAACTTGGGAGCCCCAAAATCCCCAAACCCCACTCGGGAACCCCAAAATCATCTCAGGAACCCCAAAATCCCCCCCAAAATCCCCCCAGATCCGGCCCTGGGAACCCCAAACCCCCTCGGGCACCTCATAAGGGTGGGGGCCCCTGGGGGACCCCAAAATCCTCCTCAGCCACCCCAAAATCACCTTGGGAACCCCAAAATCACCTCGGGAACCCCAAAATCCAACTCGGGAACCCCAAAATCACCTCGGGAACCCCAAAATCCAACTCAGGAACCCCAAAATCACCTCGGGAACCCCAAAATCCAACTCGGGAACCCCAAAATCACCTCGGGAACCCCAAAATCCAACTCAGGAACGCCAAAAACCCCAAACCCCAACGCAAGAACCCCAAAAGTCTCCCCAAAATCCCACTTGGGACTCCCCCAAAATCACCCTGGGACCCCCAAAATCGCCCCTCAATCTCCCGAGGAGCCCCCCAAATCCCACCCGGGACCCCCAAAAATCTCCCCAGGACCCCCCAAGTTCCCATCTGGAACCTCAAAATGGCTGGGGACATTGGGGACACTTTGGGGACACTTTGGGGGCACTGGAGGGATTGGGGGCATTGGGGACAATGGGAGGGTTTGGGGACACTGTGAGGACATTGGGGACATTTGGGACACTGGGGACATGGCTGGGGACATGGCTGGGGACACATTGGGGACACTTTGGGGACACGGGACACTGGAGGGATTGGGGACATTTGGGGCCAATGGGAGGGTTTGGGGACTCTGGGGGGATTTGGGGACATTTGGGAACATTGGGGACATCACTGAGAGCATTGGAGGGACATTGGGGGCATCACTGGGGGGGTTTGGAGACACCCTGGGGACACTGGGGACACCCCAGGGACACTGGGGGGATTGGGGACACTGGGGACATTTGGGACATTGGGGACACCCCAGGGACAGTTCAGGGACACTGGGGGGACATTGGGGACACCCTGGGGACACCGTGGGGACATTGGGGACATTGGGGACACCCTGGGGACATTGGGGACACCCCAGGGACAGTTCAGGGACACTGGGGGGACATTGGGGACACCGTGGGGACAGTGGGGACACGGGGCCAGCACTCACCAGCAGGACCTCGCTGTCCTCCTCCAGCTTCCCCTGCCACGTGTACCTGGGGACATTGGGGACACGGGGACATGGGGACATTGGGACATGGGGACATTGGGGACACGGGGACATGGGGACATGGGGACATTGGGGACATGGGGACACGGGGACAGGGGGACACGGGGACAGGGGGACACGGGGACACGGCGGTGGCACCTCCCGTGCCCTGTCCCCGGTGTCCCCAATGTCCCAATCCCTTCAATCCCCCAGTGTCCCCAATCCCCTCAGTGTCCCCAGTGTCCCCCTGCTGTCCCCAATGTCCCCCTGTCCCCTCAGTGTCACCCCCGGTGTCCCCAGTCTGTCCCACTGTCCTCAGTGTCCCCGCTGTCCCCAAATCCCCCACATCCCCCGTCCCCTGTGTCCTGAATGTCCCCAGTGTCCCCAATGCCCCAATGTCCTCAATGTCCCGCTGTCCCCAGTGTCCCCAAGGTGTCCCCAAGGTGTCCCCAAGGTGTCCCCAGTGTCCCCCCATGTTGTCCCCCCCTGTCCCCACTCACACCGAGGTCACTCCAGGGACGATGTTGACGCAGGCGGCGAAACGCTGCTGGACCAGAGCCCTGGGCAGGGACAGGGACAGGGACAGTGTCACCTGTGTGTGTCACCTGTGTGTGCCACCTGTGTGTGCCACCTGTGTGTGCCACCTGTGTGTGCCACCTGTGTGTGCCACCTGTGTGTGCCACCTGTGTGTGCCACCTGTGTGTGCCACCTGTGTGTGCCACCTGTGTGTGCCACCTGTGTGTGCCACCTGTGTGTGCCACCTGTGTGTGCCACCTGTGTGTGCCACCTGTGTGTGCCACCTGTGTGTGCCACCTGTGTGTGCCACCTGTGTGTGCCACCTGTGTGTGCCACCTGTGTGTGCCACCTGTGTGTGCCACCTGTGTGTGCCACCTGTGTGTGCCACCTGTGTGTGCCACCTGTGTGTGCCACCTGTGTGTGCCACCTGTGTGTGCCACCTGTGTGTGCCACCTGTGTGTGCCACCTGTGTGTGCCACCTGTGTGTGCCACCTGTGTGTGCCACCTGTGTGTGCCACCTGTGTGTGCCACCTGTGTGTGCCACCTGTGTGTGCCACCTGTGTGTGCCACCTGTGTGTGCCACCTGTGTGTGCCACCTGTGTGTGCCACCTGTGTGTGCCACCTGTGTGTGCCACCTGTGTGTGCCACCTGTGTGTGCCACCTGTGTGTGCCACCTGTGTGTGCCACCTGTGTGTGCCACCTGTGTGTGCCACCTGTGTGTGCCACCTGTGTGTGCCACCTGTGTGTGCCACCTGTGTGTGCCACCTGTGTGTGCCACCTGTGTGTGCCACCTGTGTGTGCCACCTGTGTGTGCCACCTGTGTGTGCCACCTGTGTGTGCCACCTGTGTGTGCCACCTGTGTGTGCCACCTGTGTGTGCCACCTGTGTGTGCCACCTGTGTGTGCCACCTGTGTGTGCCACCTGTGTGTGCCACCTGTGTGTGCCACCTGTGTGTGCCACCTGTGTGTGCCACCTGTGTGTGCCACCTGTGTGTGCCACCTGTGTGTGCCACCTGTGTGTGCCACCTGTGTGTGCCACCTGTGTGTGCCACCTGTGTGTGCCACCTGTGTGTGCCACCTGTGTGTGCCACCTGTGTGTGCCACCTGTGTGTGCCACCTGTGTGTGCCACCTGTGTGTGCCACCTGTGTGTGCCACCTGTGTGTGCCACCTGTGTGTGCCACCTGTGTGTGCCACCTGTGTGTGCCACCTGTGTGTGCCACCTGTGTGTGCCACCTGTGTGTGCCACCTGTGTGTGCCACCTGTGTGTGCCACCTGTGTGTGCCACCTGTGTGTGCCACCTGTGTGTGCCACCTGTGTGGGCCACCTGTGTGTGTCACCTGTGTCACCCCTGTGCCACTTGTGTGTCACCCATCACCCCCTGGGACAGGGACAGGGTCACCTGTGTGACCTGTGTGTGACCTGTGTGACATGTGGCACCTCCCTGTGTCACCCGTGTGTCACCTGTGTCACCCATCACCCCCTGGGACAGTGCCACCCTCTGTCACCTCCCGCTGTCCCCTGGTATTCCTGCTGCCACCCTTGGGGACAGTGCCACCCAGGTGTCCCCTCAGTGTCCCCAGTGTCCCCTCAGCGCCCCCCCTGGTGTCCCCTGGCCAGCTCGGTGTCCCCTTTGGTGTCTCCAGTGTCCCTTTGGTGTCACTTGCCCAGCTCAGTGTGTCCCCAATGTCCCCAGTATCCCTTTGGTGTCACCTGCCCCGCTCGGTGTCCCCAGTGTCCCCTTTGGTGTCCCTTCTGTTTCCCCAGTGTCCCCTGCCCCGCTCGGTGTCCCCAGTGTCCCCTCCGTGTCCCCAGTGTCCCCTGTCCTGCTCGGTGTCCCCAGTGTCCCCTCAGTGTCCCCAGTGTCCCCTGCCCTGCTCGGTGTCCCCAGTGTCCCTTTGGTGTCACCTGCCCCACTCGGTGTCCCCAGTGTCCCCTCAGTGTCCCCAGTGTCACCTGGCCAGCTCGGTGGCCACGCTGAGGTTGGGGCAGGTGACGAAGGCGGCCGAGAGCTCCGCGCTGTCCCCAGTGTCCCCAGTGTCCCCTCTGTCCCCCGCGGTGCCGCTCCCGGCTGTCCCCGGTGTCCCCGGTGTCCCCTCCATGGTGGCCGTGGCTGTCCCCGGTGCTGTCCCCGTGGCTGTCCCCGGTGCTGTCCCCGTGGCTGTCCTCGCTGTCCCCGGTGCTGTCCCCGTCGCTCTCCGGCCCAGCCCCGGCAGCAGCAGCAGCGACAGCGCCTGGGGGGAGGGGGGGAGGCTGTCGCGATAGCGGCGACACGGCCTGTCACAATGACAGCGATACCGGCCTGCCACGATATCGGCCTGTCACGACATGGCCTGTCACGACATGGCCTGTCACGACACGGCCTGTCACGATATGGCCTGTCGCGATATCGGCCTGTCGCGACATGGCCTGTCACAATTCCAGCCTGTCACGATATCGGCCTGTCACGATATCACCTGTCACGACATGGCCTGTGGTGATATGGCCTGTCGTGATATCGGCCTGTCACAATATGGCTCTGTCACGATATCGCCTGTCACGATATCAGCCTGTCGCGACATCGGCCTGTCGCGATATCAGCCTGTCACGACATGGCCTGCCGCGATACTGCCTGTCGTGATATCGCCTGTCGCGATATTACCCGGTCACGATAGTGGTGATAATGGCCTGTCATGATATCGGCATGTCACGATATCAGCCTGTGGTGACACCGGCCTGTCGCGACATTACCCGCTCACGATAGTGGCGATAGTGGCCTGCCGTGATACTGGCATGCCACGACATCGGCCTGTCGCGATAGCGGCGACACGGCCCGTCACAATGACAGCGATACCGGCCTGTCGCGATATTACCCAGTCACGATAGTGGCGATAGTGGCCTGCCGTGACATCGGCCTGTCGCGATATCGGCATGCCACGACATCGGCCTGTCGCGATAGCGGCGACACGGCCCGTCACAATGACAGCGATACCGGCCTGTCGCGATATTACCCAGTCACGATAGTGGCGATAGTGGCCTGCCGTGACATCGGCCTGTCGCGATATCGGCCTGTCGCGATACCGGTGCTACGCCCTGTCGCGATACCAGCCTATCGCGATATCAGCCTATCGCGATATCGCCCTGTTGCGATACCAGCCTGCTGCGATAGCAGCCTATCGCGATATCGCCCTGTCGCGACAGCGGCCCGTTACTATAGCAGCAATAGCGGCCTATCGCGATATCGTCCTGTGGCGATACCGGCCTGTTGCGATAGCAGCCTATCGCGATATCGCCCTGTCGCGACAGCGGCCCGTTACTATAGCAGCAATAGCGGCCTATCGCGATATCGTCCTGTGGCGATACCGGCCTGTTGCGATAGCAGCCTATCGCGATATCGCCCTGTCGCGACAGCGGCCCGTTACTATAGCAGCAATAGCGGCCTATCGCGATATCGTCCTGTGGCGATACCGGCCTGTTGCGATAGCAGCCTATCGCGATATCGCCCTGTCGCGACAGCGGCCCGTTACTATAGCAGCAATAGCGGCCTATCGCGATATCGTCCTGTGGCGATACCGGCCTGTTGCGATAGCAGCCTATCGCGATATCGCCCTGTCGCGACAGCGGCCCGTTACTATAGCAGCAATAGCGGCCTATCGCGATATCGTCCTGTGGCGATACCGGCCTGTTGCGATAGCAGCCTATCGCGATATCGCCCTGTCGCGACAGCGGCCCGTTACTATAGCAGCAATAGCGGCCTATCGCGATATCGTCCTGTGGCGATACCGGCCTGTTGCGATAGCAGCCTATCGCGATATCGCCCTGTCGCGACAGCGGCCCGTTACTATAGCAGCAATAGCGGCCTATCGCGATATCGTCCTGTGGCGATACCGGCCTGTTGCGATAGCAGCCTATCGCGATATCGCCCTGTCGCGACAGCGGCCCGTTACTATAGCAGCAATAGCGGCCTATCGCGATATCGTCCTGTGGCGATACCGGCCTGTTGCGATAGCAGCCTATCGCGATATCGCCCTGTCGCGACAGCGGGCTGTCCCCGGTGCTGTCCCCGGTGCTGTCCCCGGTGCTGTCCCCGTGGCTGTCCCCGGTGCTGTCCCCGGTGCTGTCCCCGTGGCTGTCCCCGGTGCTGTCCCCGGTGCTGTCCCCGTGGCTGTCCCCGGTGCTGTCCCCGGTGCTGTCCCCGTGGCTGTCCCCGGTGCTGTCCCCGTGGCTGTCCCCGGTGCTGTCCCCGGTGCTGTCCCCGTGGCTGTCCCCGGTGCTGTGCCCGGTGCTGTCCCCGTGGCTGTCCCCGGTGCTGTCCCCGTGGCTGTCCTCGCTGTCCCCGGTGCTGTCCCCGTCGCTCTCCGGCCCAGCCCCGGCAGCAGCAGCAGCGACAGCGCCTGGGGGGAGGGGGGGAGGCTGTCGCGATAGCGGCGACACGGCCTGTCACAATGACAGCGATACCGGCCTGCCACGATATCGGCCTGTCACGACATGGCCTGTCACGACATGGCCTGTCACGACATGGCCTGTCACGACACGGCCTGTCACGATATGGCCTGTCGCGATATCGGCCTGTCGCGACATGGCCTGTCACAATTCCAGCCTGTCACGATATCGGCCTGTCACGATATCACCTGTCACGACATGGCCTGTGGTGATATGGCCTGTCGTGATATCGGCCTGTCACAATATGGCTCTGTCACGATATCGCCTGTCACGATATCAGCCTGTCGCGACATCGGCCTGTCGCGATATCAGCCTGTCACGACATGGCCTGCCGCGATACTGCCTGTCGTGATATCGCCTGTCGCGATATCGGCCTGTCGCGATATCGGCCTGTCGTGATATCGCCTGTCGCGATATTACCCGGTCACGATAGTGGTGATAATGGCCTGTCATGATATCAGCATGTCGCGATATCAGCCTGTGGTGACACCGGCCTGTCGCGACATTACCCGCTCACGATAGTGGCGATAGTGGCCTGTCGTGATACTGGCGTGTCACGATATCGGCCTGTCGCGATAGCGGCGACACGGCCCGTCACAATGACAGCGATACCGGCCTGTCGCGATATTACCCAGTCACGATAGTGGCGATAGTGGCCTGCCGTGACATCGGCCTGTCGCGATATCGGCATGCCACGACATCGGCCTGTCGCGATAGCGGCGACACGGCCCGTCACAATGACAGCGATACCGGCCTGTCGCGATATTACCCAGTCACGATAGTGGCGATAGTGGCCTGCCGTGACATCGGCCTGTCGCGATATCGGCCTGTCGCGATACCGGTGCTACGCCCTGTCGCGATACCAGCCTATCGCGATATCAGCCTATCGCGATATCGCCCTGTTGCGATACCAGCCTGCTGCGATAGCAGCCTATCGCGATATCGCCCTGTCGCGATAGCGGCCCGTTACTATAGCAGCAATACCGGCCTGTCGCGATACCGGCCTGTTGTGATAGCAGCCTATCGCGATATCGCCCTGTCGCGACAGCGGCCCGTTACTATAGCAGCAATAGCGGCCTATCGCGATATCGTCCTGTGGCGATACCGGCCTGTTGCGATAGCAGCCTATCGCGATATCGCCCTGTCGCGATAGCGGCCTCTCGCAGCACCAGCCTGTCGCGACAGGGGCGCATCGCAGCAACGCCGTGTCGCGACAGCGGCCCGTCGTGATACCGCTGACGCCGGCATGTCGCGACATCAGCATGTCGCGATAGTCCCGTCGCCGCGCGGGGGCGCCGCCACCGCCGCGTGGCGACGTTCCTGTCGCGACAGCCGTGCTGCGATGCCGGCCCTATCGCGATATCCCTGTCGCGATGCCGGCCCTATCGCGACATCCCTGTCGTGATGCCGGCCCTATCGCGACATCCCTGTCGCGATGCCGGCCCTATCGTGATATCCCTGTCGCGACGCCGGCCCTATCGCGATATCCCCCAATATCGCGATATCTCAATATCGCGACATCCCCCTCCCTTACCCTGATACCCCCCTCCCCGTGTCCCGATATCCCCGCCCCCATATCGCGATATCCCCATTGTCATATCGAGATATCCCCACCCGCATATCGCGATATCCCCATTGTCATATTGCGATATCCCCGCCCCCATGTCGCGATATCCCCCCCCATGTCGCGATATCCCCCCCCATGTCGTGACAGCAGCACTCACAGCCCAGGCCGCTCTCATTGGCTGCCGGCTCCTGCTGGGGGGAGGGGCGGGCTCAGACCCCAAAAGGGACCCCAGACCCAAAACGGCCCCAAAACCACCCCGAAAACCCCAAAAAAAACCAAAATGTGAGCCCAAAATCCGAGCCCAAAACCCCCAAAATCCGAGCCCAAAAACCCCAAAATCTGAGCCCAAAACCCCCAAAATTACCCCAAAATCCGAGCCCAAAAACCCCAAAATCTCAGCCCAAAACCCCCAAAATTACCCCAAAATCCGAGCCCAAAACCCCCACAATCTGAGCCCAAAAACCCCAAAATCACCCCAAAATCCGAGCCCAAAAACCCCAAATTCACCCCCAGCCCGAAAAGCCCCAAAATCGGATCCCAAAAGCCCAAAATGGCCCCAAAACCCCCAAATTCACCCCAAAAACCCCAAAAATCGCCCCCAAAACCTCAACTCACCCCCAGCCCCAAAACCCCAAAATGTGACCCCAAAATGTGACCCCAAACCCCCAAAAGCTGACCGGAAAACCGTCCCAAAACCCCAAAACGTGACCCCAAATCTGACCCCGAACTCTCCAAAATCACCCCAAAATCCCCAACTCACCCCCTGCCCCAAAGGGCCCCAAAATCTGACCCCAAAATGGCCCCAAAAACCCCAAATTCACCCCAAAAACCCCAATTCCCCCCATCTGTCACCCCAAATCGACCCCAAATCCCCCAAAGTCACCCCAAAACCCCAAATTACCCCGAACACCCCAAAGTGACCCCAAAATCAGCCCCGGCCTCAAAACCGGGGCGGCTCTTACTGGGGATACTGGGAGCGATACTGGGGCCGGGGGACTGGGGATACTGGGACTGGGGGAGGCCGGGACTGGGCAGACTGGGAGCGGGGGCGGCGGTACTGGGGATACTGGGAACGGCACTGGGGACCGGGGCGGCTGTTACTGGGGATACTGGGAGCGGAGGCGGCCGGGACTGGGGATACTGGGAGCGATACTGGGGCCGGGGGCGGCTCTTACTGGGCAGACTGGGAGCGGGGGAGGCTCGGACTGGGGATACTGGGAACGGGGGCGGCTGTTACTGGGGATACTGGGAGCGGGGGCGGCTTTGCTGGGCAGACTGGGAGCGCGCGGGGCTTTACTGGGGATACTGGTGCTGGGGGCTGCTGTTACTGGGGATACTGGGAGCCGCGGCGGCCGGTACTGGGGATACTGGGAGCCGCGGAGGCCGGTACTGGGCAGACTGGGAGCGGGGGATGCTCTTCGTGGGGCCGGGGGCGGCCGGGACTGGGGATACTGGGAACGGGGGCGGCTGTTACTGGGGATACTGGGAGCCGCGGCGGCCGGTACTGGGGATACTGGGAGCCGCGGCGGCCGGTACTGGGGATACTGGGAGCCGCGGCGGCCGGTACTGGGGATACTGGGAGCCGCGGCGGCCGGTACTGGGGATACTGGGAGCCGCGGCGGCCGGTACTGGGGATACTGGGAGCCGCGGCGGCCGGTACTGGGGATACTGGGAGCCGCGGCGGCCGGTACTGGGGATACTGGGAGCCGCGGCGGCCGGTACTGGGGATACTGGGAGCCGCGGCGGCCGGTACTGGGGATACTGGGAGCCGCGGCGGCCGGTACTGGGGATACTGGGAGCCGCGGCGGCCGGTACTGGGGATACTGGGAGCCGCGGCGGCCGGTACTGGGGATACTGGGAGCCGCGGCGGCCGGTACTGGGGATACTGGGACCGGGGGCGGCTGTAACTGGGGATACTGGGAGCAGGGGTGGCTGTAACTGGGGATACTGGGAACGGGGGTGGTTCAGACTGAGGATACTGGGAGCAGAGGCTGCTGTTACTGGGGATACTGGTGTGGGGGATGCTGTTACTGGGGTTACTGGGGCTGTTACTGGGCATACTGGGATTGGGGGCGGCTGTTACTGGGCATACCGGGCCCGGGGGTGGCTGTTACTGGGGATACTGGTGTGGGGGATGCTGTTACTGGGGATACTGGGGCTGTTACTGGGACTGGGGTATGCTGGTACCGGTGATACTGGGAGTGGGGGAGGTGTTTACTGGGGATACTGGGCCCAGGGGTGGATGTTACTGGGGATACTGGGATGGATACTGGGCCCGGGGGTGACGGTTACTGGTTAGACTGGGAGTGGGGGATGCTGTTACTGGGGATACTGGGAGCAGAGGCCTTGTACTGGGAGTACTGGGATTGCTGCTGGAGGATACTGGTGCTGGGGAGGCTGTTACTGGGGATACTGGGACTGGGGGCGGCTGTAACTGGGGATACTGGGACTGGGGGCGGCTGTAACTGGGGATACTGGGACTGGGGGCGGCTGTTACTGGGGATACTGGGAGTGGGGGCGGCTGTAACTGGGGATTCTGGGACTGGGGGCGGCTGATACTGGGGATACTGGGACTGGGGGCGGCTGTAACGGGATACTGGGACTGGGGGCGGCTGTAACTGGGAGTTACTGGTGTGGGGCATTGCAGTTACTGGGGTTACTGGTGTGGGGTGATGCTGTAACTGGTTTGCAGGGATGCTGTAACTGGGAGTTACTGGTTTGTGGTGATGCTGTTACTGGTTTGTGGTGATGCTGCTACTGGGAGTCACTGGTGCCCAGTAAGGCCGGTACTGTGGGAGGTTACTGGTGATACTGGTGTGCGGTGGCTGTTACTGGTGATACTGGTGTGCGGTGACTGTTACTGGTGATACTGGTGTGCGGTGGCTGTTACTGGTGATACTGGTGTGCAGTGACTGTTACTGGTGATACTGGTGTGCGGTGACTGTTACTGGTGTGCAGTGACTGTTACTGGTGATACTGGTGTGCAGTGGCTCTGTTACTGGTGATACTGGTGTGCGGTGACTGTTACTGGTGTGCGGTGGCTGTTACTGGTGATACTGGTGTGCAGTGGCTCTGTTACTGGTGATA